AGGATTGCATACAAGAAATAGTAAGTGAGAGGAATTTGTAAGAATTCCACTGTTGTGAATACACACAATTTAAACTGTTTAGTAAGCTGCATACAGAGTCAGAATTTTAATGCATTATTGACACACACCCAATGCTGTTCCAAAAGGTAAGCAACTTAATTATGCTGCCTCCTAAAGCTTGTTTTGGCCAGATTCTAAGGCAGCATAATATGTATCCTTCACAGAGAAAATAATCCCAGAATGCATTAAGATGAGATATTCTAAATAAACTATTATATAAATAGATCTATATTTTTTTTCACAACATTACTTTTATAGTATTTTTGATTGCTGATACTGTTATTGATTTTACAATGTTGTATATTACACTAGATTTCTCAATCCTGAAAAATATAAAAATAGTCATTTAGTAATTAAATGATTTATTTTTAGTATTAAGTCATTAAGCAGCATGTTAATGCCAAACTCGATTGAAATCAATTGCAAGTCTCCTGTGTGGAGCACTACTTTGGTCACATCTGGAGTTTCATATGTAGCGCATTTAACATTTGTCACTTATGAGACTTCAATGACGGTTAGGATGCTGCCTTAGACAGCTACCTATGTAGGTAGTAAGCATCAAGGGAGCTCACTAGGTTTTGGAATAGAGCTCGAGTGTGTGTGTGTGTGTGTGTGTGTGTGTGTGTGTGTGTGTGTGTGTGTGTGTGTGTGTGTGTGTGTTTGTGTGTGTGTGTGTGTGTGTGTGTGTGTGTGTGTGTGTGTGTGTGTGTGTGTGTGTGTGTGTGTGTGTGTGTGTGTGTGTGTGTGTGTAGTCATTCACAGCATCAAAAACTGACAGATGCCGTCCCCAGAATTCATAACAGATTGTTTAGACAGCGTGATTGGTTTTTGTCTTGTACCACTGAAACTCAATGTTTATTTCTGTCCGGGGTGAAATGGCTGTCAGACAAAAAAATCTCAGTTTAAAAAATTCTGACAGAACTATGTATTTGAACAAAAACACAATCTACATCAGCCGTGTGCTTTTAGCCTGTAGGCATCTCTCTTTCCATGATTTGAAATGAGTATGAATAATGCCTCTGTCCTGTTTAATCTGTTTGGTAATCTGCTTGGTATTCACTGGGCAATCTATACTTTTGTGTTGCTAACCATTTGAATTAAAAGTGTCATTATCATATAGTGAGATCACAACACCGGTGCTATGAGTTTGCAGCGCACCACACAGCGCAACTCATGTTAAGTGCTTTTGCTGTGCGTTCTGCATGATATTTTTTTCTTCCTTCATTCTCAATTCATCGCACGAGCCACCACTTGTGTCTGTGTGAAAGTTAAATGAGCCAGAGCTAAAGGTGAGCTCACAAACTTTTTCTCTCTCTTTTTTAGTGGAAGATGGCTCCAAAGTTGTAGCCTGTTCAACACCAAATTAGATTGTTTTTTTTTTCCCCCCAGGATGCTATGGCACAGCCCTTACACTTTGTTTCTCAATTTAGCCTAGGCAGACACAAAAGCTTTTTTTCAAAAACTAGAGAACTGCCTTGCCGTCTTCAGCCCACATCGGCAGCTGGTTTCTAAGGCTGCTTCTTACCTGAAATGGAGCCTCATACGTGACTGATTTGGAATGCTCTACATAGACAGCAACTCCCCACCTAGCGCTTCTTACATGTACACAATAAAAATACACACACAAATATTGGGTGAAATATTATTTTGTAGTATTAAATGCAATACGAGTTCACTACCGTTCAAAAGTTTGGGGTCAGTAAGACTTTTTACATATTTTTTTTTAATGAATACTTTTATTCACCATTCCACATAATACGAGCCATTGAGGGCAAGTAGAAATCAAAAAGACCTCCTTGGGTGAGTGGTTACAAACTGGTCTCAGCAGCCAGGATCTGGTATAGGATGTAACAGTGGGACTTGGCCAGCCAGAGCACAGGGGAGAGAGAAAGATGCCACTTTTAGGAATGAACCAGAGCATTTTAAGAGCTGGCCAGAGTCTCTCAATCTATAAAGATTGACAGGCTTGTCCATTCCGTTTCAGTGGCCTGTGGAGGGATAAGGGGTTCGGAATGAGAAAGAAAAGAAAGGTGCTTTGTTGGTGCATCCTATTCCTTGCAGACTACACTACTTCCTGTCTCCATGGGCTGCCCATGTGAGCAGGGATGCTGTGATGTTGACTGTAAGCCATTACCACCTTCATTTTGGTGTTGTCTGTTGGCATTTGAAGTTCCTGGCACTTTGTGGATCCAGCTCACAAGGCATCACATAAAGAGTAAGTGCAGTGTTTGTTCCAAAAAGTTGACTGTCATTCAGGCCTGCTTGGAGTTGAATGGACAGGACTCATTTTCTCTCTGGAGACGCCTTAGGGGAGAATCCATTCTTTCTTTCTCATCATCTGTATTCACAAATTCAAGTATACACGCTTTTCTTTGTAAACCGAGAAGACCAAAGTGATATCTCCGGTACAATATAACAGAGGACAAATTTAGTGTTTCCAGCAACACAAAAAAATTACAGTATTTTAACTTTTATTTTTTTATTTGAGCTTTTATTTTTTTATTTCATTCAAAAAAAAAAATTTTTTATTTAGCTTTAATTTTTATTTCTCTTTTACTTTGACAGTTTTAGTAATTTTAGTACTTTTAAATTAGAAATGTTGCCTTGGCTTCTAACTGAAATAAAGTAAGTTTAAGTTTTTATTTCAGTTATCAAAAGTGATTTTTTTATAGTTTTCGTTTTCATTTTTAATAGCATTTCATTTTTCAAAGTTGGCTCAATTTCTGACAGAATACTACTCTGTATATGAATGTCTATGACTTACAGCTTTCCATGCTCTGTGTAAAAACAAGCATAATACTGAAGTGAGCACATGCATTAGGATTAAACGCTTTGGATAAAAGCGTCTGCTAAATGACTAAATGCATTAGGTAATCTGTTCATACACTCACTCTCTAAGGCTGCTCTGAAGTCTTAGTAACGCATAGTAACACACTCAGGAAGAATTTTAAAGCAGTGGGGAGGAGAAAGACTTAAAATAACCTTAAATGGTAATTGAGGTCGAGAATGTGTGGAAACTGAGAAAAAATAAAAAAGAAGAAACAAGAGTCGAGGACAGTTCTTTCAATCAAACCATTAGTCAGACAGAAATAAAAATGTAAGTGAGCAGCCCACATCCTGAAGGCCAGTCTTCCCTCTCTAAATTATAGGTGTTAGGTGCACATTTAGAAAGTGCAGATGGGCCAGGCAGTGGCTGAGCTTTTCTAATGCAGTCACACACCAGCAAACATGCATTAGTGTGGTAGCTCTTCCATCTTTTTCTGCATTCCACCGCAGTGCAAACTCATTTCAGACATGTTACCGAATTACACTGTGTTGCAGTTTTGCTGCTTTTGTATGAATATCATCGCTCAGCTTTCTTTGAATTTCTCCAGACTTCTCGATCTTGAGGTGGCAGTGAAAAAGAAGGCGGTCTGTTGAACCACCACACATCCGTCATGCGCAGTCTTGGCTAAATGCTTGCCCAAGCCCAGGTCATGAAGAGAGTTCATGTGAACATGATCGATGTGCGGTGGTTGCATAGTAGAAGATTTGAACTAAATGGTTACCCTCAGACCCAGACAGGAACTTACAGAAGTCAAATATTGAAACTTTCAGTGGATATTAATTGATTTTACACAGGAATAGTTCACACCAAAGTGAAGGTTGTTTCAAATCTGTATACCACACCATGGCCACTAGGAAGATTGTAAGAAGATACTTTGTAAGACGTCTCAGTGCTTCTTTTGTCCATACATTGAAACTCAGTGGCATCCAATGTTGTTTGGATCACATTGACTTGTATGGACAAAAACAGTTGAAACATTCTTCATGTTATATCTGTTTGTGTTCCACAGAAGAAATAAAGTCATACAGGTTTGGAACAATGTGGGGGTGAGTAAGTGATGACAGAATTTACATTTTTGGATTCAAATTTAACAGTCTCTACAAATAGCCCAAATTATTTTCAATATTGCAATGTAAAACCAAATGTACAAATTAGTTAATTAGATAATTGTAATAGAATAGAATAGAATATTGTGCATTTTAGCACAAGTGTCACTTGGTAGAAGTGTCAAATTAGGTAGATGCGGACATAAGTTGTGTGACGTGACCTCATCCTTAAAAAAATGATAATAATAATAAAATGCTGTGATACATTTTTTGTGTATATTTTTTTGTTTATTTTGTACAAAAAGTCTCCACTTGGTGTGTCCAATGTCAAATCTGTTCCTAAAGCAAAACCAATTGAGAACCACTGGAATACACGAGATAACTTTCTCTGTGTTTGTTAGTGGATCAGTGGATCTTGTCTTGAAGTTCTCAGAGCCATGGCTTATTATGAAAATGTAGAGGAACACACACACACACACACACACACACACAAAGTCACATCCCAGGGAGTAGCATACAGTGAATCATATGTCCGCCGGCATCATTTAGCATTTAGGCAGGAGGAAGCTAATTATCCACTCCGTACTATCACTGCAAATGTCTCCAGCCTAACTGGGTATTCTCAAAATGTCTATGTAATTTGTGTTGGAGGAACTGACCCTGAATCAGCAAGAAGGAGCTCCTTCTTTTGGGTTTCTGACCTCGAGTCATGTTTAATGAAAGACTCCCTGATGACATTGCCTGAGATTGGGCTGCTGTTATCAAGACACCAAGCGTCCATCAGGCTATTGGCTTTTTTAGGCAGTTTGTCTATTGAACTGCTCAGTGTATCTGTGAAAGTGGAGTGTCTTTGATTTTCTGTCTTTATTTCTCTGTCGTGATAATCATGCATTTGTCCTACCCTGTTGTTTTGTCCACTTTTCATTTCGCCAGGTGCATCACAACACTGACAGGAGGAGATGCAATCAATTTTTACCCCATAGCTAATCTGTATCTGTCTGTGTTCGACTTTGTTCACCAGTGTTTTATGTGTAATTCTGTTGTCTATCTGTCATATACGTGTGCAGGTTTTGAATTACTGTATCAGCCGGAGGTGGTCCGACTCTACCTGTCCCTGCTTACAGAAAGCCAGAACTATAACACGCTAGAAGCAGCGGCCGGAGCTCTACAGAACCTCAGTGCTGGACAGTGGACAGTAAGTGTCTTCTCAGAACATTCCTGCACATAACAAATTTGGGAGAACCAGGAATTGGAAACTGATTCCTATTTAGATCCATTTAAAAAACAATCCCAGATCAGAATTATTTTCATGATATTTGATTCCACAGAGATTCAGGATAGGGCATTTTATGATGGACATCATCATAAAATATAGAAATAAAACATACAGTAATTAGAGCCGTTGTCATGACGACATCCCCATCTTATTTTCTTTCAGCTGTCCATGTGAATCTTTTGAGAACTTATAAACAAGCATTTTATTTCTGATTTTAATATAACTTTTTTTGTGGTATATACACTACCATTCAAACGTTTTTTTTTTTTAATTATTATCAAAAAAAATGTGTATTTTAATGAGAAGTCTCTTATGCTTACCAAGGCTGCAGTAATATAAAAACAGTAATATTGTGAATACATTTTTTACAGTTTAAAATAAGTTATAAATTGTCATTTTACATCTTTTAAAAATTTAATTTACACATGATCCTTCAGAAATCATTCTAATATGCTGATTTAGTGCAAACTTCACATATTTTATGTTATTATCTATATCAAATGAAGACGGCCTGTTCAGCCATCACACCATCGAACTCTGATTGGCCTGCTAGAGTACATCATGCAAATCCATAAACATTAATTTGTAATGTTTTGTTTTTGTCTGCTTCCAGTGCACCTTGAACACATTCCTAGTCAATACTTAATTACGAGTGTGACATGTCTGTACCACAGTGTTGTGTGGGGCTCTCTTTTCTCTTGACGCAGAAGTCAAGAGGAAATGCCCCTAATAAACACGCACGTCCCCCTACACCTATTGCAAGTGTAAATCCCATTAAACTGCACTGCCCTGACCCTGCTTCCTTTTCCATGTCGGCCCTGAAGTGCAGCTATGCATAAGCTCACAGCTTCTCTGTCTGGTACCGCCGCTTCAGACCTGCCTCATCTCTATGCCTGGTGACACACGTGTGCTTGTGAACCCAGAGTTCCTAGCTCATCACAAACCCCTGCTGTAGGGAGACGGGCATGTCATGTCTGTGGTCTATAAGAGGATTTGAGAGATTTTATTTATTAATTTATTATCTTTCCTACTTGTCTGCAAATGTGTTTCTAGGCTCACTACCATCTCCTAGTGGCCATGGTGTGGTATTGCAACAACTTAATTACTATCTCAGGGGCACTGGTTGAGGAATAGACATTTCTTGTGTCGCATAAAGGTTTTGTGATTCATGGGGTTGGAGTGAAAATGCACACAAGTCTAACGGGGAACAAATGGCTATTTACTGGATTGCAGTTTCCCAGAATAGAGGAGCTTTTTCTTGCACACATACTCAGACAGGCATATTCCTGTTCTGAAAGATTTGCCGAGCTGCATATCTGGCTGAGCATAAGTTAACTTGACTTAATGAAATGAATGCAGTGGAAAAATGTCTGAATCACTGGCTTAATACAGTCTTTTCCTCTCATTTCTACAGTGGTCGAACTATATCCGGGCAACAGTGCGTAAGGAGAAAGGACTGCCAATCCTCGTCGAGCTCTTGCGCTCTGACTCAGACAAGGTGGTGCGAGCTGTATCCATCGCTCTGAGGAACCTGTCCATTGACTGCCGCAACAAAGACCTAATAGGCAAGAGTAGCATTTCTAGATCATTAGTGCCCATAATGTTAAACACATATTTACATGATACTTAAATGTGCACTCAGAATTTTTTTTCCTTATTAAAAAGTTTAGCATAAAAAGTCAGATTTAGTCATTTAAAGGGATCCACCCCAAAATGAAAATGTCTGAAATCACTTATCCCCATGTCGTTCCAAACCCCTAAAAGCTTAGTTCGTCTTCAGAACACAATTTAAGATATTTTGGATGAAAACCGGGAGGCTTGTGACTGTCCCATTGACTGCCAAGTAAACTACACTGTCAAGGTCCAGAAAAGTATGAAAAACATCGTCAGAATAGTCCATCTGCCATCAGTGGTTCAACCGGAACGTTATGAAGCGACGAGAATACTTTTTGTACGCGAAGAAAACAAAAATAACGACTTTATTCAACAATTCATCTCCTCTGTGTCTCTCCGTATAACCGTATAACAGAAGAGCGTACGCTGCTTGCGTTCAGTGGTTATTCTCCAAAATGTCGCTACGGTGATACAGAGACAGAGGAGACGAATTGTTGAATAAAGTCGTTATTTTTGTTTTCTTCGCGTACAAAAAGTATTCTCGTCGCTTCATAACGTTCCGGTTGAACCACTGACGGCAGATGGACTACTCTGACGATGTCTTTCATGCTTTTCTGGACCTTGACAGTGTAGTTTACTTGGCAGTCAATGGGACAGTCACAAGCCTCCCGGTTTTCATCCAAAATATCTTAAATTGTGTTCCGAAGACGAACGAAGCTTTTACGGGGTTGGAATGACATGGGGATAAGTGATTCATGACAAAATTGTCATTTTGGGGTGGAGTATCCCTTTAACGGTACGATTTTGTAATGTTTTTAAAAGACGTCTCTCATGCTCACCAAGTCTGCATTTATTTTATCTGTATTTTTAAGCATACAGTAAAAATAGTAATATTGTGAAATATTATTACAGTTTATAATAAAGGTTTTCTATATTTAAAAAATAAAAAAATGTAATTAAATCCTGTTATAGTAAAGCTGAATTTTCAGCAGTCATTACTCCATTACTTCATGGTAACTGCAACTTGCTTGACATTCTTTCAGAGCAGAATCTTACATTTTTTTATGTTATCATCTACAGGGAGTTACGCTATGAGGGACTTGGTCAGCAACTTGCCCAGCGGACAGCAGCGGCCAGCCAAGAACCTGGAGGAGGACACAGTAGTGGCCATCCTCAACACCATCCATGAAATCATCATTGACAGCTCTGAGAACGCCCGCTCTCTCATTACTGCTCAAGCAATCGACAAACTAGTGGCCATCAACAGGACCAGGTAAGAAGGGAACAGAGAATGGACCAAGATTATGGTAATGACACAATATATGGTCTCTCTTTGATCAGAGTTAAGCTATAATCACACTGTAAGTTTCTGATTTCTGCTCAAACCAGATATTTTGTGAAACTAGAATATTACATTTAAAAAGCTTTAACATTTTAACCTTTATTTTCACTTTTCATCTTTCTATGTTATAATTGATTTTTAGATCAAGCCAACTATCTACGGTATTTTCACTTCAACCAATTATGATTTCTTAAGGCTTGCTTAGTTCTGTATGTACACAAACAACAGGTTTTTGATCTGTGTAAACATCTTGTGTTAGTTTGGGTCCTCCTTAACTGGCAGAGAAAAACAGCAACAAGAGTTGCTGCTTTTTGAAGTGTCTTATTTTTATCACCACACATCTTTAATATATGCGTGTTAAAAACTGAATATTAAATGGTGCAGTGCTGTTGCTATCAAAAGCAGCAGAGACCTCCGGAGAGTGAGCCATATGTTAAACAAACAACCTCCATCCTTTCCACATGTGACCTCATTTAAAACTGCATGTCATTTATACCATTTCCGCCTGAGCATGATTTTACCCGAAACTAAATATTGATTGTAAGAGATTAACTTTTTAAAGAGTACATGCTAGACTGGAGAGTGGCTACACGGCCTCTCTCTATCTCTCTCTGACTCTTTGAAGTCGTAGGCTCCTGGTAATTAAGTGAGGATCACAGGAAAAGCTAATGAAGTGAAAAGAGAGAAATCTGTGGCCACAGGGGTTAGAGATTGCAGCCATAGTGACACTGCGATGCTGGGGGGGGGGGAATAGATGACTTTGAATTTGAGAGTTATTCCACTGGTCTCTGGATTCTGCATAACTCTCTTTCCCTCCATGTTTATGCATTGCAGCCAGTCAGCAAGGGAAACCAAAGCTGCTTCCCATGTACTACAGACGGTTTGGAGCTATAAGGAGCTGAGAAATGCCCTGACCAAGGATGGCTGGAATAAAACACACTTCCAAGTAGAGTGAATCATAAACGCACACAAACACTCTGATTTCTCAGTTATTCCTAAACCAAAGTGTAAAGTGGAGAAAGGTAAATCCCATGAAGAAATGTCCAGGTCACACTTCACTTTAAAATGTACAGAAAAACTAAGAAATGAACAAGAAAATATTTGCATAGTGAAAATTGAGTGTAAATGGAGTGTCATTTTCATGATAATCAAGCAGAATTGTCCCCCAAAATTCTCATGACCTCTCAAATTTCTCAAAAAAAAAAAAAATCTTGTTCTCATTAATGTAATACATTGCTGAGTGGACACAATTATTATTTTTTTTTACATTTTTAATTATTAAATAAATATGATATTAAAGGTCACATAAATAATAATGAATAATTATTATAAATATATTCAGTGAAACAAATACTGCTATGATGTATACTTCATTTATGCTGTATTTGACAAATGTACATTAATTCTATTATAAAAGTGTTCTTATTTCAAATGTCACACAGATTTTTCACATCACAGTATTTTTTGTTGAACGAGAATGAGATCAAATGTGCTTAAGTTTATTTATTGTTCCTAGGTGCCAGTAAAATTATTTCAGAATGCAAAAAATCACGATGGTCAAAATAATAGATCTCATTTCCTTGATGCAAAATACATTTTTTCGAAAGAAAGTGAAATATGATTCAGACATTTCTTGATGGTTTCTGTGAGATTCACATGCTATTGTAACTATCCTTTGCATCCCTTACTGTACATATTTTATGAAGAAAGAGACCTAGTTGTCCTAATCCAAGTGCTTTTAGTGAAGGTTTGTCACTCTGTCCTGTGTTTCTGAAACATTCTCCTCTTGATCCTTCTCAGCCGATACCGACTGGCACTCCCAAAGGATCTAAGAGTTGCAAGCCTGGCTACGACGATACTACACTCCCCTTGATGGAGACGAACCAAGGTTAGCGTAAGACCCCAAACAGAGACTTTACACACACTTGATAGCAGCGAATCTGGGTGCTCAGGGGAGTTCTGGCGGTTCAGGTGCACCTGAGCGAGCATATCTTCTGAACTCTACTACTTTCTGTGTTTTAACACATGGCAGAATGCTTGATCTCTCACCCCCGCTGCTCAGCTGGTGTGTGCAGCTGCCGCATCTCTTGTGCTTTAATCGGTCATTTGAGTGGTTCATATGATACAGAATGATTTATGAGGATCAGACAGCAGATTAATGGGCCTCAATGTAGGAGCTCATTATTCATTCACTCTCAAGTAAAATGATGGTAAATTACTGCAGTGCTGCAATAAAAAGCACCATCCGTCCACCCAGGGCACATCTCATTGAGAGAGGAGTTAGCATGACAGCTTTGGCTTTTTTTAGATTTTATTGCTGTTGTTAGCATGGATGCTCATGACAGTGATACATTTGATCACTTCCATCAGTCCCATGCCATTACCTGCTTGCCTTACTGTGGAGAACTGAGCACAACAGTGACCGCCCATCTTTTCGGAAGCCTTTGTTTCAGAAGCATTTTTCTCATTCATTTTCTCTATAGCTGAATTAAAAATCTATAAAAGGTCTTAAACCAAACTAACCACTATGAACTACTCATCCGTGAACCATTCTGAAGGATTTTATCGAATCAGCACAATAAAATGTGAAACTTTTAACTTAAGATTGTTTCTGAGTATAAAATACATGTTTTAAAGGCCCATTCACACCAAGAACGATAACTATCAAGATAACTATATTAGCATCCACACCAGCAGACGATATCGTCTGTTTATTCCAAGCGCACTCTTGTCTGCCGCTTTAAACTCTAGAGCTCGTGATAGCAGGATTGATTCTGATTGGCTGTCAATGTTTTTAATTGTTCATCAGCTGGAAAAAAATCATTCTGAAAGTGATTCCAACGATATCGTTTCTCTGTGCCTTTATCGTTATAACTGTGGTGTGGACTCTGCTAATCTTTAATATTGAGAACGATTTTTAAAACTATATCTTTATTGTCATCTTTATAGTTATCGTCCTTGGTGTGAACAGGACTTAAGTGTATTATTTAATCTAAAACGCAGTAAAAATTTAATATTGTGAAATTGTATTCCAATTTAAAATAACTTATCTTTTTTTATATATTTTAAAATGTAATTTATTGTTGTGATGGCAAAGCTGAATTTTCAGCAGCCATTACTCAGTCTTCAGTGTCACATGATCCTTCAGAAATCATTCTAATATGCTGATTTGCTGCTCAAGAATCATTACTTATTATTATCTCACTTGAAATGGTTTGATTTGATTGTAATTCCTATGCTTTATGGTAGTGGGCGGTTACTGTTGAGTCAGATTGCTGCTGTTCTCACTTCCTTTGTCTTCTCTGATTGGTGTCTCTCACTTCAGAATTGTGGATAGTTTAGGATTTCACAGAGAATATTTTTTTGACATTTCGAGATTTTTATACTTAAATTGATATTCTAAAATTGAGCATGCGTATTAGTGATGTGAAAATCCAGCCTGTAAAATGCTTTTCAGGCAACAGAGGGTGTAGCGGTGGGGATGTGATACCTATGGATGAACTCGGTCCAGGTAAGACACTGTCGGCATGCTCTCAAAAAAACAAAAAAATCTTACAGACTAATGTGGTTTTAAGAGAATACAAAACCATAATCCCTCTAATTCCATTTACCCTAAAATTTCTCCCAAGCAATGTTGTGTTTAGATTTAAAAGTAATTTTTCTAACCACATTTCTTTTTCCCTGAAGAGTTTCATTCCAACGCTGTCTGCAATACCCCTCTTTTAATAAGATGTTTGTAGTGTTGTTGTGTTTGGTGTGTTTTGGGTCAATGAAAATTTGAACAGAAGCACTATTGCTTGTTCGCTACAGAGTAACACCTCTTCATTATGGCGCCGTCTCTCTGATCTTCTCCACTGAAGCAGCATCCTCTCCAAGCCTGACTGACAATAATTGGACAGAGGCTGAAGATGGGGTGCTACTTTAGTGGGTAGAAGTAAGTGATGAAATGGCAGTGACTGTGAGGGACAGCTCATACACACGGCCTGCATGAACACACACAAAACCCGCACAGTAATCACACACATCACATGCTCAGCTGTGAGCACCAGAACATCTGTGAACGCAGCACGTACGGGATGCTCCCAGCTGAAGGTTGAGGGATTCGTTTCTGTTTGTTTGAAGAGCCATGCTGAGGGTGCTGACACACCGATCATGATAACAGAGCTTTTCTGCTTTCTTTACCTCTCATTAGATGGCTATTCGACGATTGACCAGAGAGACAAAGTCTCCAAGTACAAAAGCAGCGACGGCTCATCTGATCTGCAGGAGCGGGAGCCGTTAAAGGTCAGAGCTGAAGTGTCAGAAGTGAGTCACGTTTCTACATCTGTTTAATCTGGTAGTGTGGTAGTATCCTATCTGTCTCATTAGCTGCTTCAGGCACCAACACTGCAAGTTGTGCAGAGAAAAGAGAAATTATATATTAACAGTGAATTTGGGTTGGAGCCACGGTGATTTGTCTAATTAGTGGAAGGCTGCAGAACTGTGTTGCCAGATATGTAGAACAATAAGCAATCTGGTCTGAGCCAAAATAAGAGATTTGGTTCTCCACAACAAACCAAAGTGATTTTCACACATTGGAAATGCGACCCATGACTGTCCATATTTATAAGCAACCTAATGAAAAACAATCCTAAATTTGCTTATAATACGTGGACATGGCAATACTGATTTTATGGCATCATAGATCCCCCCCAGTATGATGGTGTGATATATATATATCAGACTTTCAGATCACAGTCTACATCTATACGTTTAAGATATCTGTTCATATTAAGTATATTTAAACTTAACTTCCCCTCATACAGTCTGTTGTTAGCTCCATGTGGTGCTTAAAAAGATAATTAAATGTCAGCTTTGTGATTTTTTTTTTAAGTTATTAATGTAGAGATGATTAAGAAACTGCCTGGTGCTACTATTTTCCCCCTTTGACTATCATCTGTAAGAGAGGTCGACTTGCGTATCAAGTGCCTCTGCAACAGTAGATTGAGTTCTCTTACTCCTTCTTGACTTTATATGGATTCATCTCATATAATGAGTGTGATCAGAGTCCAGTGTGAGAGTGATTCACATTACTGTGTCTGCATTCGAAAGAGGCCACACTGTGCTCATAGATGAGCGTGTTCATGGACACCTCTGCATTATTGACGACTACATTTCTGTACCATCTGTAGTCTGTCTCAGGATTGTGACAGGGCTTTGTATCTCAACCACTGCCTGCCATATTTCTTTGTTAGACTTTCCGAACGCTTTAATAGATGTCATTACAAATTCAGATTCCTGTCGCTTCGACTGTCAGAACGTCAACCGAACAAACAGATTCATTCTTTTCTATTGTCACAATATTTGAGAAGGGTCTGGCTGCAGCCTCGCACTTGCACTCTCAGACTTGCATTCTCAGACACTTGCGCTTCCGCTAGCGACGTCACTTGCAGGCATACAGGCAAGCAGGTGAGCTTAGAATAAATGCAACACGCACAGTTTCACGTTAAGCGTTTTTGCATATAGAATAAACTGTCTACAGCTCTTTTATATCATTGTCTTTGTCCATTAAGCTACTTTACGTGTTTTATTTATAATGATATAATGATAAAGAAATGCACGTTCATAATTGCTGTTCTGTATATACTTTGAGTCAACAACCAGACATATAGGCTACTGTATTGTCTTTATCATCCGTTATTATACAACATTAAGCGTTTTGCTTTATGGGAGGACAAGTACAAGTTTACGCGTTGTGTTCATAGCCATCTGTTTGCCTTGTAGTAGATTAAATAATAACTATATATCGAATTTGATCTTTTAATTTAACTTAATGTATCTTAATACATTACGCCATGTTAAGTGTTTATGTTTTTCTACAGGAGGAAAACGCTTAACGAGAGACTTTGTGCATTGCGTTCATATTCTGCTGTTCTGTGGCCACGGATTTGCGGGTCTTGTCTTTTTCTTGCAGGGCCCTGTATGTTATAGTACTAAATTAGTTGTAATCGTTTAATCACCACCACAGCGTCTTGTCTCCATTGGCAACACGCACCATTTGTGTCGATTGCAAGTGACGTCGCAGGTATCGGAGAGTGCAAGTGGCGATTGCAAGTGACTTCGTAATTTAGTTTCTTTTTTCTTGTCTTCACCACCTGGCTACTGTTGTAAAATGTTGAGAGATTCAAACAAAAAGTAATAAAAAATAGAACAAAATAAAAATTAAAATAAAACTGCAAGTGACGTCGCTAGCAGAAGCACAAGTGTCTGAGAATGCAAGTCTGAGAGTGCAAGTGCAAGGCTGCAGCTAGACCCTCTTGCAATATTTGGCAGACAAGGGTTTATTTCCCTACTAATACAATGAAGTTGCTCCCTCTAGGGGACCTTGCTGGCACAACACGCATGTATACCTAAAAATCATGCCGATCAAAGTTTTGTTGTTTTTCGGAATGGATCTTTGTTCAGTTCTGCATGCATTCACTTCAATTACCGTTCTCTTCTAACATTTCAAACTGTTTATTTTCCCCTTGAGCTTCCCCTGCTGCAAGGACTAACTCTGACCTTTCTCTGTGTGTTTAAACTGTTGGTTTTGCTGATTTGCACCCCTCTCCCATTGCTGCAGAATGACACAAATAGGAAACACTATATCAGGAGCAACAGGCCGACTGTCAGCTTGGTGGATGCTTGTGATGTAAAACCTCAGCCTGTTGACTCCTGGGTCTAAATGCACGCATGGTAGGTTTTATGCGTTTGATTTGGGTGTTTTATTGTAGTGGTTTTGTTCTCACCCATCCTGTTTATGAAATAACTCTCACCCTTTTTTCATCATTTGCTCTGTCTAACCCAGAGAAGTGCATTGTCTGAATCGGTCGCTAATCTGACGACTGCATGTTCAGATCTTAAAACATCATTTTCTTCATGAGGATTGTGATTCAGAATAGATGTGAAGATAGGATCAAACAGATTTCTTAAAGAGTGGAGCATGATCTTGATCTACCTTTCAAAAGCTTGTTTTTTTTTTTTTATCAAAAAACAGTTATATTTTGAAATATTACAGTTTAAAATAACAGTTTTTTTGGTTATATTTTAAAATGCAATTTATTCCTGTGATGGCAAAGCTGAATTTTCAGCAGCCATTATTTCAGTCTTCAGTGTTTTCAGAAATTATTCTAATATGCTCATTTGCTGCTCAAGAAACATTTCCTATTATTATCAATGTTGAAAACATTTGTGCTGCTTAATATTTTTGTAGAAACCATGATACATTTTTTCAGCATTCTTTGGTGAATAGAAAGTTCAAAAGAACTGCATTTATTTCAAATAGAAAACTAATTTTTTTTACTGTCACTTTGGAACAATTGAATGTGTCCTTGCTGACTTTTTGCTGAAAGTATTAATTTCTTTTAAATAAAATCTCACCCCAAACCCTTGAACGCTTTTCACTCATTTTCTGTGGAAAGAGGACTAAAGGAAGAAACTACACTGTGTACACTCGTACATGTTCCAGTGCTGACTTCTCTGGGTTAGCATCATCATCGTCTGTTTGTTTTCACTCTCATGCTTGCCAAATATCTGCTCATCATCCTTGCTTTCTTCATCCCATACTGTATCTGTCTGGCAGGAAACCATCATCAGTTCAGTTCTAGTCCTCGAAACATGTAGAATTTAATCATGTCCAGTATTGTTTAAATCTGGTAAGTCATATAGAGAAAACATGTCATTAGTTTCAACATCCTAAAAACAATCCATCATTCAAGTGACATGCTCGCTTTCATTTGGCAGACATTATCTTGTGCATGTCTATAAATATAATCATGTCTTTGTTTGTGAACATATTACAAATATCTCTCATTAGAACGCACATTTTTATTTAGTCTGATAATGTCGTCTGATGTCTGTGGCTTTCCTGCCCTCTCCGCTGCAGGCTTAGCTAGCAACAGCGCCACATCTTACCACACAAGGATTTCACGTCACCACTGCCGTTAACCGCAGAGCTCACCGTGATGTGGACTCATCTGAAGACTTTTGCCTAAAAGAGCGAGAGAAAAATACAAACTTTCATTCAACAGCCAATATTTTGAGATTTCTCAACAAGTGAAAAGGGGAAAAAAGTACCATTTCTCATATGTACATTCCCACTGGACGTAGTGTACCCAGAACTGAGGATTTGCTGTCACGGAGCCAGAATGATGGATTGATTTGAGTGTACAGGAAGTGCTGTCATGGACGTGGACGTGTATTGGAAAGAATTGGATTGAGGGGTAAAAGGAAATAAGAAAAAACACTATTTTTATGTCAAAACAAAAAAATATAATTTTTGCCTATATTATTTTTGTTGTACGTTTCTGCCTGATTACTGTTGGATTTGGTTTCCCCCAAAGTGCAGTGAATTGTGAATTTTGTTTTCGTTTGTTTTCATTTTGTAGCGTTTTAATGAAATTTTCGGTTTTCTAAAATAGTTGAGGACACTTGTGAAAGGAGGAAAAATAATGTTTTTTTTTGTTTTTGTTGATGTTCATTACAATGGTGTGGGGGCACATACAAAGTCTGGGGGGGGGGGGGTTTATGTTTTATTGGTCCCTAACTGCTCTTTCTCTCTCTCTCTCTCTCTTTCTCTTTGTGTGTCTCTTTGACATACAAACACACACACACACACCTCCTCTCTCTGGCTCCTCCCACCTTCACTCACTCTGTGTTCTCAATGTAGTCTAGACTGGTGGTGGGTTTTGCCTTGTATTACATTGTATTATAAACTTTTAAAAGATAGAAACGTTAAAAGGTTTTGATTATATAGTTGTTTATGCTCTCCTAGCACTCAAGAACAATGCCACAGTGACCGAATGTATTGTTAATTTTACTAATACCCAGAAGAGAGAATTGCTCTTGTTAAAGAAAAGTACAGGTTTGTAGAGTATCACTTTGGTGTGTTTTCAATAAATCATGCCTGAAATGAGCATAGTCTGTCTGTTTCTTTTCCTTTAACCCCCCAACTTAAAATTTAAAATGTGTCATTTTGTAGTTTTGGACCCCATTGACTTTCAGTGTATGGCTAAAACAGTTGAAATGTTGTTCAAAATGTTATTTTGTGTTCCATAGAAGACAGAAAACCATGCCGATGACCTAAGGGTGAGTAAATGATGAGAGAATGTTTATTTTTGTATGGACCATACTTTTAATACACTTTCAATCTTCATTTCAGGCAAATTATGCATTTACTAGAAACAGCTTGTCACATGAGCTTTCATCAGTAAACAGGTTTTTGTTTCATTGTCATAATAATTTAGTTCCTCTAGAAATCTCAGAATTTTTTACATTTGTACATGATTTAAATATTGATACTCCCTCTGGCTGTTTAACAACTCCAAGAGCGGAAATATTTATTTCAGGAATTTCATTTGGTAAAAACTGCAAAATATTTCTAACTTTGTGCATTAAATCACATCATCCAGTGTGTGTGCAGCTCCTGCGATGGCCTGTGTGATGATGGATATGTGTTTATGAGCCTGATCCCAGTCTTCCTTCAGCCCGGTGCTCTCAGCCTTCTCTACTGCATCTGCCAGGCCGGGGAAGGTGGGCACACTTGATGACCATATCACATGCCTGTGTGGTGCCAGACAGCATTAGAAGTGATTGCAAACAGGTGTGACATCAGCATGAACAAATCGAGAGTGGTAAGGGGAATGCAGATTAATATTCATAAGGGACCGGACATTAGTAGCAGGACATTTTAATAATGCTGCTTCATACCTGAAACCATATTGCTCTGGGAATGCTAGCGGGTCAAGGAAAGCTCTGTCCAGCAGCATGAGCTGGTCATTAATTTGACGAACCTTCAGGGGCCTGTTGTGAAGACGGAAGTTATGTTTATGCTGTTATGTACCCTTGACACCACAGCAGGTGGTTTTGACATCACTTTAACCCCGTAAAGCCTACTCTCAAATTTCTAATGCCTCTAAATTATCAACATGAGCAAAACTTTGCTGAAAAACCTGTTGTACACCATATTCTCCATAGTTTATTATTTTTTAGCAAGTAAAAACTTTAAAAACATCCCCCTTCAGGTTGTGGTACACATGTCTTTTTTACTGTGAAATCCATAATGATGCTGAAGTAAATTTAAAAATAAATGTTATATTGTTAGTAATATTTCGAGAACACTTACTGGACTCGAGCCACTTAGGTTTACTTGATTATTCATACAGATTTTTTTTTTAAATAATCATGTTAAAAAGTATGAAATATGTTCAGGTTTTTTCAGGAATGTTTTATCTTACTCTGCTAGGGTTGTAAAAATCTCAAAGAATGGCCATATAGATATCAACAAAGACACCAAATTGCAATTTTTTGCTCAGTTTGGGCCTCTAAATAAAATTTTGATGTTTTTTTATGAGCTCCAAATGTATCTATCTATCTATATACAGTATGTGTGTGTATATATATATATATATGTCAAGTTTGGTGGCTGTCGTGGAATAACTGCACAGCTTTCTTCAAGGATTCTGGGATAGGAAAAAGTGCTCATTCTCATTGCTACTTTGACACTTATGTACTTCCATCTCTCTCACCTTGTACAAACATTTAGGTTGGCAAATTCCCCTAATGAATAACATTTCCCTCATCCAAAGCAGTCTGGAAAATCTTGTTAGCTCACCGATAGAGATTCCTTTAGTCGCAAGTTTTTCCTCAAAGATTGTAACCGCCTGACTGAGGTACTGCTCTGGACTTTCTGCATAGTCACTGCAGTTGAAAGGCAGCAGAAGACTGTCAGCCAATCGCAACAGTACGTTCCCTGCTGTCCTAGCTACTGCCTGGTGACTTGTGAAACCTGCATAATGGAAAGTCCTTTGAATTTAAATTAGAACCGACAAGAACTGGCAGACAAATATTAAAAGAGGGATTATAGTACATAGAATATATGATCTCATTTGAGAACCTCAGTATTCGGTTCACCTGGATCAATGTGTGTTGATGCGTATAGTCAAAGGTATCATAAGCTGTGTAGTAGGCTGGGTAGATGTGCTCTTGTTTTGTTCTGCAAAGGGATGGAGAATGTGTTCTTAATATTAACCAACTTTTTTTTTATTCTAAATGTTTGATTGCATCAGTGCTGACCACATACCCAATCATAATAATAGGAAATGTCCATAGACGTTATTCCAAGGTAGTGCATAAAAGCAGCATTATCACTTCCTGCTCCTGTCAAGAAGCCCACACTGAAAATACAATGAACAGTATTGAGAATTATTACTAGTAGTCATGGTATTGTAATCACCTTGTTTTAAAATATAACATCAAACCATGAGGTATATTGCGAGCATACTTTGGTATAAATCCCATAATTTAGACTGGTTCTGTTGGAAAACTGTATCCAGTTCTCATAGACTGATTTGGTTGGTCCAGGTGCATTTACCTGAAAGCACATGACTCATCAAAGCATTATGAAAGTCACATCTCAGATAAGGTAACTGATAAATGACTTGTTCCTCACCTGTTTAGAGGCTGTGAAAATGACACTGTGCTGCTGGAGAAGCAGAAGCCCTGAGCGTAGCATTAGCTGTGGTGGACATAGAACATTTCAGCAAGTAGAAAACTGGAGGAAAATTATATTCTATAGTACCGAACACTGAGATGTCCACATTGACGTTCGCCACAGTGCGCTCACTCAGCTTACTGAAGTACTCCTAAGAACGAACATTTCTTTTAACATCAGTATGGTGTTTTTTTTTTAGTAATGCTACTGATGTCTTTATCAACAGACCTCTGTGTATTCTGCAGATCCAATAAGGCCAAATTCTTCAGCTCCCCAACTGCCAAAAATAATGGACCGCCGAGGCTGCCATTTCCCTTTCAGGTAGAGATATAAATTAATATGATTTAACTTTTGTTATTCTTTCAGCTTGGAACTGACACTAGAATATGATGCATTGTTATATTTTTCTCTTTATTGCCTCCCAGCTCTCATATAGTTTTAAGAACACCGTGTTATTTCCATTATACTCCTAGACCACTTTGTGTCACAGCAAATGACTTGATTTGGGTCACTACAACCAGCCCTACAGTCACATCTAATGGCAAAATCAGTTTATCTGTGAATGTCATTAGGTCTCACCTTCCTTCACCATCTTCCCCAGCACTCTGGTGATCTCCAGCATTACTGCTGTACCGCTGCTGGGGGCAATGGCTCCGTGTACCCAGCTGTCCCTGTGGTTCCCATAGACCACGTATAACACAAATACAGTTTGCAAATGCAACTGATGTGGTAAATTCCTCAAAATGTATTTGGTAATATAACAAAAAGTAAAAATAAAAAGCTTTGATAAGGCTGTATTTATTAGATCAAAAATACTGTAAAATAGTAGTTATATTGTTACAGTTTAAAAGAGCTGTTTTCTATTCTAATATATTTGAAAATGTGATTTATTTCTGCGATGGCAAAGCTAATTTGTCAGAAGCCATTATTCCAGTTTTCAGTTATATAATGACTTAAGTGCCCAAATACTTTTTGGGAACTGTGTGTATTAAGACAACATGTTTTTTTTATTTTTTATTGTTGTTTGTTTTTTAATATGACAAATCTAACTTACCTGGCTCAACGCTACCTCGGATTACTCCCATAACATTTGCTGAATATTTCAGCCTCTCAGTGTTGTAAATGTCCAAGTGCACATTGCTGACAGAAAAAAACATTATTTTAATTCTGACCAACATTATAACCTTTCAACACAAAATCATACTTGTTCAAACATTGCAAGATATGCAAGATACCGCCATAAAGCCCAATTCGGTGGAGTGTTGCAGTGATGTTTGTCCTTCTGTAGATTTCTGCTATCTCCACATCATGATCATGGAGCTCAAGTAGAGTGACCATCGGGTTCTTGGTCACCACACTAACCAAAGCCTTTCTCCATCAATTGCTCAGTTTGGCCAGAAGGCCAGCTCTAGGAAGAGTCCTGGCTGTTTCAAACTTCTTCCTTTAAAGGGGTCATATGATGCGATTTCAAGTTTTCCTTTCTCTTTGGAGTGTTACAAGCTGATTGTGCATAGATAAGATCCCTGAAGTTGCAAAGACTAAAGTCTCAAAACCAAAGAGATATTCTTTATCAAAGTTAAGACTCTGCCACGCCCCCCTAAATCGGCTCGTTCTAACACGCCCCCACATTTCTACCTCACTATGTGAAAATATTTGCATAATGCCGCCCAAATGTGCACGCAAAGAAAGAAGGCATGGTTTCAGTAACCGCAGTTAGTGTTGAAGCAGCCATGTCAGGGAGATGCTGTGTTTCTAGGTGAAAGCAAAAGAACTTTATTTGGCCTTCCGAAAGTAGATGCATCTAGGAGTCTTTAAGATTACTTACAACAGAACAGCAATGCATTTTATGGACGACCGTTTCGTGAACATAGGAGAGGAGGTAATTCTGACTTTGCTATGACAATCTGGC